GTAAAAATTACAGTTTCAGATCGTTTCAAATTAAGCAGCCAGGCAAGTAATAGGTGTCTCACAGGGATCATTATTAGGCCCTTTCAGTTTTTACATGAATAATATTTGCAACAGTTGTATTCATTATACTGTATATACTGTAGTGCTCTTATTCAGACAGAATAGGATTATTAACACGAAGCAATTGAGAAATATTAACAAATATCATGCTGAAAACTGGGCTCGAAAAATAAAAAATATAATTAAGTTCCCACAACAACAAATACTATGCAAGCCTCTGTGCTATCTGCACACGATTGCTCTGCTCTTCAGGCCGCTTGCTGAAGCGTTGCTTGAGCTGTTGCTCATTACCGCTATCACACTGACCTCTGTAAATTATATTAAAAGGTTGGTTGGTTATCACTGGCATCAGCAAAGCTGTGTTTTCATTATGCTCTCATATCCTGAAATCCCTGAAAGATTTGTATGGAAAACCTAGACAGATGAATTCCTTCCTAGGAATATATATTTATTTTAATATTCACATTGGGGTTTCTGGTTTGTAGTCCTGTGGTGAAAGAGCATGTGTGCAGCCGCAGTATAATTCAGAGATGCTGGCATTGCTATTAACTGCTCTCTGAGGTCCTCTTAGCTCAAAACACACAACAGTTGTTCACTTTGAAACTCTTCGCCATATTTTTTCTCCCTTCCTTTCATACGTTTCCCTTTCCGCTTCACTATAACAGACAGCCGCTGCTGTTAGTATCTGCGAGTTAAGGGCGCATAGTTTTCACTAATTCAGGTCTGCAGTTAACCAAGGTTTGTCTTAAGTTACTAACAATGTTCTGGTTAACAAATCAAGCTGCTATAGATCATGTACGTGTTTGTCATGTTTTCAGCCTCCTCCTTGGTTTGACATAAGCTTTGGGGATTCACTCCCACATAATGCTGGCAGGCCAATCCAGACTCTATTACCACTCAAGAGACAACAAAGAGCTTGTTTTCTCCTCGAGTTCAAATCTCTACTGCAATCCACCGTTCCTAAATCACCAGCACTGAAAACATGCTCATAAGTTTCACTCTGGCATCAGTAAATTTCAGAAATGTTTCCTCACAGACGCGCACGGATCCCAACCAGAGGCGCTTGTGCGCTCTCTGTCTGCTCCCGCCTCGAGAACCAAGGCCACGGTAACTAATTTTATTTTGACATGCTGCAGCAAGTTAGCACAACTTGACCGTACTACATCAGAAAGTAACAGATTCAACACAAACCTTTTGACAAATGATGACAAGGGGGAGATTTGAAAGGGGGCCACCGCACAAATACACGTTTCCTCACGTTGATTATGACGGCTGTCATTTCTGTCTGCATCTTGGATACGTTCAGCTCAGCCTGAGCCAGACAGATTCATTGAACGGGGGGAAAAGCAGGACTTAGAAACAAACTAAAAACCCAGCTGAAGCCTCTGCTGCGTCCTTGATGTTTCCAGTGCTTTGTCAGGCAAGCGATACTCCAGCTGAAAGCAGGATACGGCTGATGCGATTGTGCGCAATGTGAGCCAAACTCTACAATCCTATCTGCTGGGTTTTTGGGGTTTTTTGCTGTATGGCACTTTGATCATCTAAAGTTCTTTTTAAAAATTATTTAGGACCGTTTTAAACATATTACACATTGCAAGGAGGGTGTTTATTTTTACAATCTTTTGTATGTTTTTTAAACAATATGTTGTCAGTATTTATTGACTTGGAGGGAATGAATGCGTTTGATTTTATGTGGCAGTAAAACAAAAAACATGATCCTTTTCTGGAGTTAGTGAATCTCTACAATAACAGCTTTTAAGAAGCAGCAAGCAGCAGCTTAACAAGCGTTTGTTATTTTGATTTCCACAAGTAACATACAAATTTATGCTCAGTCCTGATATCAAGGCATTCCCACAAGACAGATTTATTACCTCTACCTAAGCTGACCTCGGAATTTCAAACAATTCACGAAAGGCAAAAAGTTAAATGGAATAAAAAAGAGAATCTAAGGCGCTTGGAAAGAAAAGCAACTAGATTTCTTCTTGAAGTCATTTCAGCTCTCATCTGAGAAGCTTCTGAAGAAGTGAAACGTCTTCAAGAAACTTAAAGAAGTCCAGTCACTTTTTTTCCAAGCTATTTTGGATTCCCACGACCTGGATCACTGAGAACCTACACAGGGATAAAAAGAGAGAAACAAAAACTGTATGTTGATTGTGTAGCAATTCCAGGATGTTGCAGAGCAGGATCTGTTTTAGAAAAACTCAATATCAAGAAACAGACCAGATCTCACTTTGCGTGTCCTGCACACCAACTACAATTAAAATTAAAAAAAAAAAATGCTACCACAGTGTTCACATTTTTATTTGGCTTTGCATAAATTGAATGAAACAATAGATTATTATAAATGAATGAATTATAATTATATACATTATTATAATTGTAAACTAATTACTTAATAATTAATAATTCATATGAATATGTTATAAATTAAATACAAATACATACATTTGCATGTTTTGTTACCAACGTGTCCCCCCTGCATGGTGTTTTTTTTTCCCTTTTCCTAACAAGCACTAGTGTCTTATAGTTCAGGTTTGTCAGTGGGTCAGTCAGCCATGTGATCTTGGTTATATGGACAATGAAATACATGGAAAGCAAAAATCTAATAATGCTATATAAAGTATTCAAAAGTATTTTTCGATTATAGCTAAAGACTTATTATTATTATCTTAACACGCTAAACTAAAGACAGTGCAGTCAATGTTAAATCTAGCAGGAGGGGCCTAGCACTGCAACTGTGAGGATTTGAGTGTGCTACCGTTAGCATTTAGCAAATGTTACGTAGCTGCTTCCAGGACTTCCAGATGTCCTAATTCACAAGAATCAGTTTATTTAAAAGTATTTAGCACTTACTGAACTGAAGCGTGTCCAAAAAATATTGAATGAGCCGCTGGTTACAGGAAGTGAAATTGTTTTCCTTGAGTTCGAGCCATTCACTGTGACTCAGGGTGGATGTTCACTGTGCAGTGCATTCATACTGTACATAAATGATTTTCCATCATGGTCCTTACGTCATAGATTCGTTAATGGAATTATATCTTTAAGCATGTTGGCATTATGTAGTTTTGAAATTGGGGTGGATCTGAGTCTGCACTGGTAGAGCACACAGTAGCAGCCTGTAAACCAAGGTAGGCACACCATAAAGCTTAACCTGCTTTATCATTATTCTTTTTTACTCTAATGGGAGCACGATTTACAAACGGAACACCATGTTGATTTAAATAAGAATTGAGAATAGTGATCATGACCATAAACTCATCAGGGGAACTTTTCATTGCAGTCATAAATCAAGTGAGCAACAGGGGCGTTTCCAATAAACTTCTGCACAGTCTGCAACCAGAGGAGTCCCTGCATTAAGACATAAGACAGGCTTTTCCTTCCCTTTTCAGACTGAAAGAGTAAATGATTCACTTTACAGATAGAGTTCAGGTAATAAATGTGTCACTGTTACAGGTTGTTGGTCATCAAAGTTGAAGCCTGAGAACTCATGACCCTCTCATGCAAACCACTCTAATAGTCACTCTTTTATGATTTTGTGTGTTGGGGAAATCTTCTGAAATAAATGTTGAAGGTGTTCAGGTGACTTTGTGCTGTAAGTATAGCTATCTGAGGAATAAGGTCGTGTCATACAGGTTTAGAGACCAGTTGGCAACCTGGGGCAACCTCCGGTCATTAGGGAAAAAGTGAATTATAAAACCAGTTGGTTGCTGGCCATCGCCTGATGAACTCAGTCGCAAAGAAGGTGCTGCACCAAAAACCTTGTCATTGCTTTGGTCACTAGCAGGTGGCAGCTACCAGTAGTTTACATGGAAGTCGCGGTAAATACATAAGAGAGGATCTACTCACCGGATTTCTGGCCACCACTTCAGGATTGTTGACAACGGCAATGAGGTGGATGAGGGTAAGGGCAGAATTGAGCACGAAGGAGCAGAAGAGGTTCTTGTGGAGGGTGATCCTTTGGCAGCTCAGACTCCTGCGTGCAAGGATTAATTAAAATGCTGATAATACTGTTCACGAATGTGGAATAAAACCTTTTCAGTCACAGAAAACACAACATCAAAAAACACAAAAACTTGGTGCAACCGATGACACGCACAGGAAAGAGAAGTGACTAGCAGGCTGATAGTTTAATGAGATGGTCAAATATTGTTTAAAGTGTCAAATAATTGTTATCTTTCATCTCAAACGGATTTTTCTTTGCAGCTGTCAAAGGAAAAAAAAGTGTGGATCAATGAGCTGGATTGTCTCTAAATGGATTGAACAAGCTAGAAGTGCTGTTAAATAATGCATAATGGATCCCAAGGGTGCATTCGCATTAGCTTGACTGGCCACTCAGGATTAATAGCGTAATAAAATGCATTACGGGCAAAGTGAAAACAACTATTAGAATCAGTCATTCAGTCATTCATATCGGTATTATTATTATTGCTTTTGATGGGTTTTTTTTTTCTCGACAGCAATCAAACAGACTGCATTTCAGAGCTGAATGGAGTCCTGTAGCAAATTGCTTTTTTACAGAACATACCCTCCATTAAATACCCATTTTACAGTTAAATAAGTTGTATCCATATACCTCTCATGGCCAATTTTATCTTTGATGACTCATAAATCCCCCTGAGACCAATGAAAGCACTAAATGTCCTGAAAAATAGCATAGAGCAGCACATTTTCACAGCGGCCAAGTAAAAATATTCAGGCATTTTTCTTTCTCCAGTTCCTGACAAAAAAGGAAATGTAGGAATTGTTCATTGTTTATGTAAGTTTTATTCATACAGTACAGCCCATTTCATTACACGTAAACCCAATTTTATTCCCATAAAATGTTTTTTTTAAAACTCTGTAGTTTATATAGGGAGGACTTATCAAAAATGGGGCCATGGCAGCATCGTTCAACTGTCACAGGTCCCAATGTATCTGTCAGAATTTCCACCAGCCCCCATTTTTCCATAGAAAACTGGAGTATTTTTATCTGGGAATCCTGACAGTGTTGATGTAGAGTTGTAAATAACAGAGTAGCGACTATACAGCATCACATACCACTGTGAGCTTCACATCTGGATCTTATAATACAAAATCCAGTAATTTAAATGTTTTGGCAGTGAATATATTAAGTAATGGCTGCAAAGAGAGGCAAAAAAAGATAAGACGGTCTCAGCTAAACACCTTGTTACTTTATTGAAATCTTAATTTGTTAGGACTTTAATCTCGATGAACCTTGACTGGCCACTGAATTGCTCTGCAGCTGAAGAGTTTGAGACTCATTGGGTCAGCGGGTTTTGTGATTATGCCCCTGCCCCAAACTCGGCCTCTAGATTTATGAGTGCGCATAAAAATTTGCTGCACAATAACGATCTCTTACAAGATCTGTTCTGGATAACAGCTGTGTTTAGGAGGTCAGCAGACTTCTGCACATCAAAATTTATAACTGCAACAATCGCCAACCACAGGGCCAACAAGCCAGTGTTTCTAAATATTGTTTCAGAATGTAAAAAGCATCTTTTTTATTTGTCGCTGCTTCAAATAAATGAAAAGCCTCAGTTCTTTTGAAATAACACTGATTAAGCTCCTCACTTCCCAGAGAAACGTAAAGTTTCACAACTATTTTGTGGCACAATCATTAAAATATTATAGATTTATTCACTGAATATTCAATTTCTTTCCCTCTAATCTGGTTTGTTATTCTTAACTCTTATCTAATTGAATTTCAGCTGAAGCACACTGCTTAACTTTATATTCTCTTCCGCTGGGATTAAGCGTCTGTATGGATGAACATCTATAATGAGCAATAAACTCAAGTGCAAAGCACCAACACATCCTGCTCAGAATTTTAACTATGCACAAAAAACTGAAGATGTGTGAGAAAGTAAAGAAATTATTTACATATTCTAGAAGTAACCTTAATGACTCAGACAAACTAGAGTAAGAGATAGGACAACCTAGTAGACTAGTATTACTTTACCTTACAATATAAATCCACGTGAGGCTATAAAAATAAAACTGAATTGAATTGAAATGAAATATTAGTTTTCTGGTGATTGCACAGACTTTTTTTTAGGCCAGAAACAAGCTGCAAATAGTTGCACTGACCAACTAGTTGTCTAGAGGCTGAGACTCTCAACCCCTGGGCAACCACCTTGGATCACAATGGGATTGCCAGAGTCATCAGGGTTGCCAGGTCTCCTGGTGGGAGTCTGACTCAGACCAAGTGCAACCCTCTCAGATTGGTGAGTTGCTGCAAAAAAATGCTGATTTAAAAACACAGACAGATTGCCAACATGTCGCAATGAGTCTGAGTCAGTCTGTGCTGAGGAGTGCAACTCATCTGTGACATCTGTGTGTCTTTGCTATCCAGCTGCCAGTTGTTTTTATTCGGGTTATGTTCCTATGTAGATCCTGAGTGACAGCATCATTTTGCTGTTTAATCACCATCCTGTAGCAACTATGTCCCTATTCTGTTTAAGATTTATGAGGTTCTGGGTGGACCCTTAAGTAGCTAATGTAAATTTACAGTTTCTGCCAGTTTATCACAGTGAATCACCATATTATCCCAAACAAATTGCATTTAATTGCCAATTTGATGCTACTCAATCACAAACTGATAGCATACTGACTCTGTTTTATTGCCACTTTATCACCATTTTTGATGCAGCAAAGTCCCTTTGAAGATGGCAACTGACTGTGAGTGGTCCTCAAAGACAACAAGTTCATTATAGATAGTTCTAATAATTGTGGTTATGCCACATCTCCAGCCACTGTTTTTCCTAGTATGACTATACTGTAAGAGAAACTGCAGTGTCAGTGTCATAGTTTGCATTAATTTATGACAGGGAATAATATTTTTATTACAGTCTGTCTCATATTTTGCTGACCCCAAATAGGGCAAAGACAAGAATCGTGCTAATAATGAGTAAGGACAACATCACTGTGCCTGTCAGATCATGTCAGGTAAAGATGATGAGTCATTAAGGATGACAACGCCACCTATTAATCATCACTGCGTCATCAAACTACAGCTGCATTCTCACAGTGCTGCAGTCTCACATGTAGGACAGGAGCATCACATTGAATCTTTTACCTGAAGTAGAAGAAGATGGCCAGAGAGATAAGCAGGGAGGCTATGGATAAAGCATGGCCCACGATGGCCATGTAAAACAGGATGTAGGCGGACTGTAAAACAAAACAAAAGAACACAAAGATAGAGATACTGTGTATTACTAGACAAAAGGAACATGTTTTCTTATCGACAAGCTAACTTTCAGGTCTACCACAAAATTCAGCTGAATGAATTTGATGGTTTTTACTTTTAGGACAAAACGCTCAACAAGAAATGTTGTTGCACTTTCACAATCCTGAATCCGATTTCCAATACTGATATTTTCAATGATAACTTTAGTTAGTTTGAGTAAAAAGGCAAACAGGAGAAGGAAAACCATTCTCATTATTTTCCAAACTAATGCTGTTAGTTTTGAAACTGAAGTTTATTCATGTTTATTCATTATAACTTTCTCACACAGGCTTAGAGATGGGTTAGCAACTGCCTGGCAATCACTTGCCTATAAGTGAATATTCCCCAAATAGCTGGCAATCGGTTTTCGGTGGTTGTTTTCTGATGCTAAGTGAAAGTAGTCTCAAAGGGATCCCTTGCAATTGCTTTGGTCACTAGAAGACTGCAACAGCTGCCTGTCGTTTGTAGGTAAGACTCTGGGTCAGCAAACTCTTTGCAAGCGATTTCACACCGCAGCCTCCAGTAACCACTTTCCAACTGGTTGGGGAATGCCTAGTGACCAAATTTGAGAAGGCACAATCTACTTCTCCGAGAAGTCAGAAGTTAATCAAGCATAACGTTCAATATGTTTGTGTTCAGGAATGTAAGTAAATAAATGAAATTTGGCACCTTAATTTAAAAATAATAATGTGCTTTACTATTTAGTCTGCTTTTTTGTTAAACAATAATTATAATTTAGCATTTGCAGCATAATTTCAATTAAGGAGCTTACGTATACTGGTGGATTAACAATTACCAAAGCATAAAAATTACTTTCTAATTACTAGTACTCTTAATTTAGGGCAGCTAATACATAGACCTTACATTGGGTCTGATACATTTGTTAAGCGCCGTATGGGAAGAGGTAACTTTACACCATTCGATTCCATGTGTTCCCAGTGAGGATTATTTGTCAAACAATAAAACATAATGGACCACAGCTGTGCAGCCCAATCGAACAACAATAAATTTGAACATTTTAACCCCCCTACGAGCAAACACACATGTAACAGAGATAAACAAAACCTGACTTTTCTACTTTTCCCACAAATATGAATCTTTAAAAAAAAAATTCAAGTAAGATATTAATTGGAGCTGACAGAGGAATGTTTGAATCAAGATAAAATATTATTTGAATGACCGAAGCAGGTAGAGGTATCAATCAGTCAGTTATAATTAGTGCTGCAAACATTTTCTATCTCTGGCACAATTTAATCCCCAGGTCTAACTCTAACACCATGCTGATGAGATTCTGTTCACATATAGCCAAAATATGCATTAGTAAACAAAATGAATGGTCAAGGTCAACAAATCCAGAAAGATTCCAGATCCAAATTTAAAGCCAGCTGCTGAACATTTTTGCACAAACACAAATGGTTTGGCATAAGAGTTGATAATAACATGCTTGCTCATAAAAGACGCACAGTCACTACTAATTAAAACATTTCAAAAATGTTTTACTAAAGTTCAAACAGTCCATCTGGGTGTTTGTATTCCCAGTGAGAGTTCTGTGATGCTCTGGTCTGGTTTTCATGTGGAAAATGTTGTTAAAGGCTTCATTTTGTAGCCGTGGGCTGTTGGTGATGAGAAGGTCGTTAATATGTGAAGATGTCGTCGTAACACTATTACTAAGGAGACTTCCTGTGACTGTATAGCCTGTGGCACAGGCTATTGGGAAGCATTTATTGGAAGCAAGCTTCCAATAAATGCAAATTCTGTTTGTTCAGTCAAACAAAACCTACTTTGTCTGGACTTGGCCCCATGAGATAAGACCATTACGTGTACAAATTCTAACTGTAAGCAGGTAATAATGTAATTTTAAGCCTTCCTGCCTGTCATGTAAACAAATGCATCAAACTCATGCGTGGTCTGAAATGTCAGCTATGTTATTTTAGATCAGTATCACACCAGTATGGGAGAGTTATGAATCTTGGTAGTGCAGAGCCCCTGGCACAAAGGAAACTATTATGCTGACCCATCACACTGTGGCCACAATGCAGCTGATTAATGATAGCGGAATAGTTTTAAATTTGAAATAAATTACCTTCAGCTTGGCATTGGTGTTTTCATTGCAGAGTGTGTAGTTAGACCAAGTTCTGTTGGTGTCCGGGTGACGAAACCACTGCCCGTCCTCTCCACAATACTTTGTTGCTTTTTCTGAACATATCGGTCATGAACTAAGTTAATCGCTTCAAATCAAAAGAACTTGAAAGGAGCTCAATGTTTCAGTCTCGCTGCTTACCCGTAGGGTCGAAGTCATGAAAATAATTAGGGCAGTTTTGGAAAGTGTAAGTTCCTGCTGGAGTGTCGTCCCAGCACAGCCAGCCATCCCAGTTGCGACTGCAGTACAAACCTATAACATCGACACAGTGTGATGACACTTAAAAAATTAAGAGGGGACTAGAGAACCCCAGATTTTCATTTAATTTGATATTCTTGTTACCTGATTTGTTATAAGGTGGATCTCGATTCATTTTCTCGAAGCATTTGTACTGGTTGTCGAGGATTTTTTTCCGCACTATTTCCTGCTGCTCCCGATTAGCCGTGGGACTGACCGTGGCCTCGTCGGCACCGTTGACCTCAGTGTCCCTGGAAAACTGGGCGGCTGCCTTGATTTTAGTGAAGTTTAATATCACACATACACACACAGAGTCATGCTCAGTTAAACTAAACAATGACCAAGGAGAAAAATGGTATGGAATAATTGCACATTATTGTTACATTACCTTTAACTTGTCTTTAGTGTTGATGGCACAGAGTGTATAGTTAGTCCATGTCTTGTTGCTCTCTGGGTGGCGAAACCACTGCCCATCCTCTCTGCAGTACTTGGATGCCCTTTCTAAAAAGAATGCTTATGTATAAATATATCGCTGTACACAATTTAACACTCATTGAGTTCTTTCTTTAAAAATATAATTCATAGAAGATGAGGGAAGGTTAGCAGGAAAGCAGCAAATCTTTAAACAAGCAACCGTGTTGAATTTTACCACCTACCAGTGGGGTCAAGGTCAGAAAAATAATCAGGGCAGCTCTGAGAGACCGTGGTTCCTGCCGGAGTGTCGTCCCAGCACAACCAGCCATCCCAGTCACGGTTGCAGTACAGTCCTGTAGGACCCACAAAACATGATAGCAAATGTGTATAGGTCTCAAATTCACATGGATAAATGTGAAACTTATAATTACAGGGAGATCTCACTGGCTAAAAACAAGACACTCTAATATTTAGTTGGACTATCTTTAGGTTTGATGCAGTCACTTTGGCATTGTTTTGTGCAATGTCACATTTATTTCCATCTTGAGTTGCATTGTGTTTTAGACAAGATCTTGTACTGACAAAGGGAGCGTTAGCCTGCTGGGTACAGTCTTCTCCATTGCATCCCAAAGATTCTCAGTGGGTTTTAAGGTCTTGTGGTCCATGAACTACTCTTTCACAGTTTGAGCCTGTTCAATGATGATGTTGCCATCTGGTGAATATTCAGGTGGTTATTTGAGCTCTGTACAACTGAAGCAACTGGAGATCACAACACCTCCCTCACTGGGTTCTACGGTAGGCATTAGGCATGAGCACCTCACCCACCTTTCTTTTTTTACCGTTCTTGTCCATCAGTTTTGACCAGGGTTAATCTGGACTCATCAGATCACAAGACTTTTCTGTTGCTCCAAAGTCCGATCTTTATGCTACCTGGGAAAATGAGGCTTTTTTGCGATTCGCTTCACTGATAAGTATTTTTTCTTAAAGCTGCACAACTGTTCTCTTTTGTTGGGAATGCTCTTACTTTCACCAGTAAACATAGCTGTGAGTTGTGCTGGTGGATTATTTACAATTTTTTTTTTAATGATTTGATGTCACCAAACATTTACATAACCTCTGATCACTTCACCATATTCAGAATTTTTTCCCCGACTACATTTCTTCCTCGTAGCAGTCCTCCCAGGTTTAAATAATGCATCGGGAAGTTCCTAATCCAGCTTTAGTAATTTCCGCAATATCCTCATTTGTTTTCTTTGCTTAATGCAGGTGGATAATTTGACTTCTGAAACAGAGTAACATCTTATTCACAACCATGGGATGCATCACCAGACATGGCTGTTTACGAACTTGGAAGCTACTCACTGCATCCTTTGAGGTTAAATAACTTCCTGTAAACCAAAACATTAATCACTGCAGAAATTATCCAATGGAAGGTTCTTATCCAATTATTTTGCGAAGTCCAGGCACTGAATTTCTTTGGCCAGGTAGTGTAAAAGCTCAGCACTGTGTAGAAGAAAGAATCAGTTTACCTGTTTTTGTAGAGGGTGGCTCTTGTTTTATTTTGAGGAGACATCTATATTCACTCTCAAGCAACTTCAGTTTCTATGCGGAAAAAATGAAGATTTCAGCTTTAAACAGTACTGAACAGACAAACTGAGGACCATGTGCAAGGACCTGTCAAATAAACACACATCAAACAGTTTATTACATTCAGCGTATGTTACCCTCTGCCTTTTCTCATGGGTGGCTGCACAGAGCGTATAGTTGGTCCAAGTCCTGTTGCTGTCTGGATGTTGAAACCACTTCCCATCTGCTCCACAGTACTTAGTTGCCTTTTCTGTAAAGAATAATTCCATCACTAAACACAGGTGCTTTTTACTATCCATCCATTCATTCATTTTCTTCTGCTCATGGATTCAAACCGAGGACCTTACTGTGTGGAAACAGTGTAACGCTTCCTCTTCTTACTTAGATGTTTAGATATTGTAACAGTTTATCAGATGAGCAAATCCTCTTGAATGTCTTTGCTCACCTGTGGGGTCGAAGTCACCGAAATAATCAGGGCAGTTTCGGGAGGCGTACGTGTCCGCTGGAGTGTCATCCCAACACAACCACCCATCCCAGGTACGACTACAATACCGCCCTACACCAGGAAAAAAAGCAAAGGAATGCTTACAGGCCCATTATTCATAAATTTGCAAGCCTATAATGCAGATGCTGATGAATGTGATATATTGACCTGGTTTTCTATAAGGTGGATCATTCTTCATTTTCTCTTGGCATTTCTTTTCATTCTCAAGGATAATTTTCTCTGTGCTAACCCCTGGAGCCTCCGTGGTTGGCTCTGCTGCTGCATCCTTTTGAAAATCAGGGATTTCCTTCTGGGAAAGAAAAATATTAGGCTGCTGCATATAGAAACTGATGCAAGCTTTGTCTTGTTCAATCACTTTCAGAGAAAAAACAAAACAATGATCAATTACCTCTAATTTGTCCTTTAAAGTTTGTTGACAGGTAGAGCCAGTCTGGATCCAGTTACCTGATTCATCACAATATTTGGTCATTTTTTCTGTGGAAAAAAAGGGAAAAAGCCTCACTGGCAGTGCTACAACAGCATTATCCATCAATAATTTTCCTAAAAGCTTCATATACTATATTAAACGGCTTACAGGCACAGTCTACTGCTCCTGTTTGTTTAGCAGAGAGTTCAGTAGAGCTTTTTTGTATGTTTTGGCTGCGTCTTTCAGGGTTTTTCAGCAGTAAAACATTGGCATAGCCCAAACACATAAATCTAAACCTGAACCTTGGCATTATGAAACAAATGCATTTAACTTAGCTCGAAAAATATCATCAGAAGTTAGTCACATAGAAATATCCAGATTTGGAATAATTGTACGGTCATTTCCTATACGTCAGGTTTTAAACCACATGTAGTGGAGATCCATGGCTGGACCTATCAGTGAGATCACTTTGTTCTTGACATCAACAACTGCAGTCCGACTGCCTAGTCCTCTCTGGCAGCTCATTAAGTGTTCAGCAACCACTTCCAACTGTACGTCTTCCCAAAGGCCTCATATCAGCAGCATCAACTTTCAAGGAGTCATGACGGTACCCAGGCATTTTGGGAAGATCCTTTATGAGCCGTCTCTTACAAAAATAGCTACTCTGTTCCCACATTCATGTTCTTGCTCCCTATCCATCTGTCAGGAATCGAGCGTCCCTATATATTTTTATAATTCCTCCCTTTCTTTTCTTTTCTTTTCTTTTCTTTTGTTTGTCTTTTTTCATCCTTACATATTCCTCATTCATCTCTCTGTCCTCTCCTTCACCTCTGCTCTCTTCGTCATATTGCATCTCCTAAATCAGACATGACTTGAGTCTGGAGTTCTTCAACTAGACATTATTGAACCTTGTATTACTCACAATGTAAAAACTGCACATTCTTCGAAAACGCTTAATGCTGCAATCCCAACATAATTTGTACTTATATAATCACAGTCAAATTCAATATGAATAAATCTGTTTTTCTATCCTGCCTGACTCAAAGAGTACAGTAGTAGATCGTGTTTTACCTTGTTTACAGTGTATTAATCTTTTCTCTAGCATGTCATACAGAAGCAAATATGATTGGGCTTTTTCATGAATCTGCAACCAAGTACTTATGCAAGGTTATGCTTAATCTCTACAGACTAATATCTTTATATAAGTGCACATAATCTGTAGGCAAGCAACAACATTTTTGCTACTGGAATCTTTCTGGTTTTAAATTTGTAGTGTCCAGAAGATTGGCCAATCACATTTGAGCATTTAAGCAAATAGTTAGTGCTAAGTTAAAATGTATTGACATTAATAAACAATGAATGGAATTGAATTATTGGCTTGGATATCTGCAGGTTACACCGAAACCAGTTGCACAGTTGTGCTTGAATGAAGATGGATACCGTCTTAAGATCGTATTACTAAGCTGAGGCTTCAGTTTTGCGTCTGTGAGAGAAACAAAAGCATTAACCTTTGACCTGAGGAGGGGATTTACATAATACATAATAGATAATCTGCCTCAGCTAAGTTTCACATCAATCACTCTATTGCTTTATGAATAAAACTGATGATACTTAATGGCTGATGCATGGTTTCCATGCATCAGCCATTAAGTTTAAGACATATGTCTTAAAATAATTCTGTTATGCATAAAATTCATAAAACCATACACTAAAACTAAGCAGAACTCCGCAGCTGTGAAATTTTAAGTCCTTACAGAACAAAGTTAAGCAAGCTATCTGGCCTCTGTGAGACACGATTAACCATTTTCCCGATGTTACCCAGCAGGTCTCACTTCAGACTGCCTGTTGCTGTAAATCTAGTGAGAGATGCGAAAAACGTTCTTACCAGTCGAGTCGAGTTGAGGATGATGCGGACAATTTTGTGTTACTGATGTCCCGGCTGGTGTCTCATCCCAGCACAACAAACCATCCCACATGTAATCACAGCGCACCCCTCGAAGAAGGAAAAAAAAAAAAAAAAAGGGGGGGGGGGGGGGAGAGGAGTGTAATTACTATCATAAGCAACACTTATTTTCTTACATAAGTATACTATTAAAGAAAAAACTAAAAAGGGAAAATGTCCTTGTCTTTTCTACATTATGTTACAATTTTAAAAAAAGTCATATTCATTTATTTAGTCAGAGTAATATAATGTAAAATATTGTCTCTACAGATGTGATTACGTCTTCCGGCCTAAACTTTAAAAGCCCTATCGGGCCAGTTAGCTTGCAGCAGTACCACTATCATCTTTAACAAGAACACAAACATTGTTCTGGTCCCATTCAATAGTTTTACATCACTCCACCTGCAAAGCCCTCCCAGAGTTAATGGATTTGGTCTCAAGAAGCCTGAAATTAATTTGGGACCTCTCACCAGTTCTGCTTTCTTGGCGGCCTTTGCGGGACAGCTCGAGACATTTGTATTGACCCTGGCTCAGCGCCTGCACACTTTGTCCCTCTATAATGCTCTGCGGAGGACTGAGCGATGGGTCTGAGATTGAGTCAGTGCCTTCCGCTGTCCTGCACTGTGGAGACAACATGAATTAGAGTTGAGAGGAGGACATGCCCTACACTAAGTGCAATACGTGCCGTGGCCAGGGAAGCATCATTGTGTTGTTTGCGGTTTCTGCTCTGATCTACATTTCTTTGATCGTCAAAAAAAAGGTAAATATCATCTTGAATGGTGATGTAGGTTTCAATTATAATACCTCAGAGTTTTATCATGTTTGGATAAAGATGTGCATCTGGATAAAGGATAGAAAAAAATGAAAAAAGTCAGCATGGAAAGTTTTTGAAGCATCTTCAAAGCTTTTCTGATGAGGATTTCACTCTGCTTTGAAATTCTACTCACGCTCCATTTGTGTAACTCATTAAAATGTTTGCGAGCTCACAAAGGACGTTAAGCAGCTGACTTTCTCCCAATGAATCTTTTCTCTGCTCTATTGTTTGTGTTTGGAGGTAACATTAAAATGGAGAAGCCCGCTGTGTGAAATGCTGATTCTGATAATGCTGTTCACTGAAGGATAAAGAGCCCATCTTGCTGTGACTTATCTTCCTTCTTTTTTTGGCTGAAAATTAAGCCTCTCAAAGGCTCGTGCACTTGCATTTTCCAAATTCTTTGTGGAAATTTAGTACTTTGCTTGGGAGATTGTGTCCACATATTATAAATGAGATGCAAACCCACAATCCCCTGGTTCTCTGTGGAGGAAATACAAATTGTGACTAGATCAAAGTGTCGTCCTTACCTGTTCGATAAAAAGTTTGTAAAAAAAAAAAATACAAAGCAGGTTTTAAAAAAGTGGCTTTTGTTTGAGAGCTGATGTCCCATGTAGCAGTTTAGCAGCCGTACATATGATGTCACTCCAAGCATTGAAGTAAATGACGTCATACATACGACCACCAGGCCACCACCAGTATCAACAGCTGAGCTGAATGAGAAAAAATAAAACAACTTCTCATGTCATGGTTTAACAGCTTCATCACCTACACAAGTCTTTTGTATTCAACATGACAAAACCACACGACACAGAAACACGTGGCAGACCTGCAGAGGTACATCAGGCATAAATATTTAGCTGGAAGACCTCGTCCTCAACTCAAGCAGAAACAGAGGCTGGGAAAGTAAACTTCCATCTCCCTGCGACATTGAAGAATACCAAATGATTTTCCATGAAGCCCATTGACTCAAAAAAAAGTCTGTAAAAAGTTCAAAATGTTTTTTCACCCAGTTGGTGTTGAAGATCATTTTATTAAGACCTTAATTATTCAAGTAACCATAATTTGTACAAGCTCCACGTCAAAGTTTGACTTTTTTAATAGGGCACATCATTACATGATAGAACACCATGTCAAAACATGTCATCCCTATATGACATACGGTTTGTGTTACGCTCTGTGACTGATGATTACAACAGCCCCATTAAGCTAATTGATGACATTCCTCAAAAGCTGGAGCTGGGAAAATGTCGTAGCTCTCCAAGATGCATTAAATATCTGATCCTGGGGTTCAGAAGAGCCCAAGATCAAGATTTGAGGTCAAGATCTCCATTAAGATCTTTCTGCTGTAGGCTGTTGTTTATATGGCACTGCTATTGGACATTAATATAATGTCCAGAGATTGGTTAATAATACGAGATTATTGCATTAGGTTTTATTTCCTTTATTGCCTCTATTAACCTCTAACAGGAAGTTTACCTCCTGGTGTTTTATGCATAGTAAATCTTTAATCAATTTTTCTTTGATAAAGATCACATTTTCTACTCTCCACTGCCTTTCATTATTTTTTGCTATACGTGTATAGCCTTTATTTTGAGGCCATGTACATAGCGGCACAAAAGTGGTACAAAAATAAAACCAAAACTAAAAAAAAGTGACTTCTTTGTTTTTCTGTGGCTGATGAAAGGATGTGTTGTTATCATAATAACAAATAACTTTATTAACATAGCACTTTTCAAAATCGACATACAAAGTGTGTTACAAGAGCAACAGAATAAATCCAGAGTAACAAACGTAAGAAATAAAAAGACAATTTAAAGCTAATTAAAGCTCAAATAAAATCGGGCAGAGCCTCGTCATTAAAAGTAACCTTGTGACTGACTTCCCCAATCCTGTTCCAGAATGCAATCGTGCGGTTAAGTGCTTTAGACAATGAGACCGTTTTTGTTATTTTGACTCTGTGCACCAACACAATGGATTTTAAATCAAACAAACAAGATGTGATTGAAGTGCAGACTTTTAAAGGTTTTACAAAAGTATTGTATTAACTGTTTAGAAATCACAGACATGTTTATACATCGCTACAGTCTTCAGAGGCTCAGAGTAATTGGACAGTTGACTGGCAAGCAGTTCCATGTTCCCTCATTATTTTCTATCACAAATTAAGGAGATAAAACATCTGGAATTAATTCAAAGTGTTTAACTTTAATTTGGTAGCTATTCACCTTAGCTCTCCAAAGAGGAAAAAAGAGATGTCGATATAAAGACAGAGATCATCATTAGGATTGAAAAACCAAAATAAACTTAACAGAGAGAGAAAAAAAACTTTAGAAGTGACCAAATCAGCAATCTGGTGATTCTTAAACAGAAGGAGCGCAGAGGCCAGCTCAGCAACGCCAAACGGCCTGAAAGACCACAATGATGTGGATGATCACAAAATAATTGAAAAACACTGGTTAACGCTCAAGAAAAGGAAGTCCAGACTCTGCTAGAAAATACCTTAAAGACCCCATTGAGCAGATGGACGGATGAAAACAAAGATATGGAGGAGAAAAACAGCTTGAGTGTATTGCATCATCTGTCAAACACAGTGGAGGAAATGTTATTGCATGGGCATGAATGGCTGCCAGTGGAGCTGGGTCACTGGTGTCTACTGATGGCGTGACTGCTGATGGAAGCAGCAGGATGAATTGTGAAGTGGACAGGGCTATATTCTCTACTCAGATTTAACCAAATGCTGCAAAACCGATCCAACAGTGCATCACAGTGGACGTGGATAATGACCCAAAGCTTACTGCAAAAGCAACCCAAGAATTTCTCAAGGCAAAGAAAAGGAGTATTCTTCAATGGCCAAATCATTCACCTGAATCTCTGCCTCCACTTATGAAAAGTGAAAACAGAAAGACCCGCAGTCACGCGGTATGTCATGGTCCCCCTGTCCTCTCAGGTTCTGAGTTTCTTTCATTCTTTTAATAATTATAACAGCTTAGATTTGTACAGCACCTTTCAAGAAACCCAAGGACGCTTTACAAAAGAGTATAAACAAACGATCTTCTCTTCTATTTGCTCCATCTCTCTATCATGTGTATATATGTGTGGGCTTGAGTATTAACTTTGTTTACTCCTCCCACAAGTAGATCCTCAACTGCTACCAGCAGCAGTATATAACCCTTGTTCTCCTCTCTGTTTCTTGTAGGAATGACTAATTTAGACCTCTTACCTTGTTTGCTTGTTAACTTGGTGACCAGTGCGCCATACTTACCTGACCTGTCCTCCATTTTTTGCAGATTGTGTCCTGGTGTGCCTGCCTTCCTTCTGGAGAAACCTGCCTGACTTACTCTTTTTCTCACAAAAAATACTTACCTGTGGGTTTGGAGGGAACTTACCTGCACTAGCGTGTGTGGAGAATATGTCGCAGTAAATACAGCTGTGGAAAACAGAATTTTACCTTCTACTCGTGAAAGCAACCAAAACCAAGCTCTGCCTGCAAACTGAGAGAAGAGTGAACCAGTCGTAACTGGATTTGAACCTACAAAAAGAGAAAGATTTGAACCCCAGTGTTTCAATATCAACTTTAGTAGTGTTGCGAAATGCTGTAAATACTTACCTGCTGTGAATTCAAGAGTGTTAATCAAAGCCTTTGAACTTTTTCCAGCCTGTTGCACCAACCATGAAAAAGCAAGTGAAGGCTACTGCAGTAAAGGCCTGGCAGAGCATCTCAAGGGAGGAATCCTAGTTTGTCCAATTATTTTTGAGCCTCTGAAAATGGTGTGCTATGTATGAAGATTTAATGTAACACAAATAATAAATTAAACCTCTTGCACTAAAGCTGAAAGTCACGCTTAAATCACACCTTTTTAATCTTTTGATTGGAAATCCACTAAAATATTCATAAGTTTAAGAAATGACTTGTCCAGTGTGTCTTTTTGCATCTGAAGATGTCATTTTACATTAAAACTGTTGTGATCTTCTGCATAAAGGGCAAGGATCAGCTATATTTTGAAGCAGAAAATGCACATCTATACATATATATACTTGGCTCATTTATATTGGGGGATATTTAAATTGGGGTAGTTCTAAAGTTAATTTTACACGGTGAGTGAATTTCCTGGCTAAAGAAAACCACTAGACCACAACATATTATACATCCCTTTAATGAGAACTGAATCCTGTTCAGGAAACATGTACAGCATACAAAATGGGCAAAGTGAGAGATAGGGCCTTCAGAAATATATGCCATTGTACATCCTTGTGTAAAAAGTGTGAGCTTACCACCAGGAGAAACCAAAGGATCCAAATGGAGCCCATTAACCTCATATCTTCCTCTCACAGGCAGATCTCTAGAGAGAGGGAGGAGAACAACATGTTAAACCTATCAGAAAAATAAATTGTCTACCGTGAAGGTGACTGACTAAACAAACAGTGTGCTGTTTCGAATCAGGATTACAGCTTCTCAGGAGAAAACAGTCACAGCAATCAGTCATCTGAAATGCAAAACACTGCAGCAGCGCTGCAGTTTGTGACATTCCACACTCCTCGCCTTTGTGCGCGTGCCTGGGAGATGGTGAGACGGCGTGTCTGTCAGGATGCGAAACAACCGCATAAAAGGAGTAACTTTACATTGTGAGAGCAAAAAGAATGACGAAAAGCAGAAACACATTCGGACCGAAATAGTTGACGCTCATTAATCATTTTGCGCTGAGCCTCTAGCTCCGCAGGACGACAGGAGCTGGGCGGACGGTTCAGTAACCGAGTGCATGTGAGATTAAAATTCTCTTCAGGTCTCTTTTCTCAGGCTAACAGAGTCCCTGTTGAAAACCCATCATTCTGCAGTTTGAACAGTTACAATGACCCACTGGTTGTTCTCCACTCCCCACAGTGGCGCAGGGGTCAGGGTGTTCAGCAGATACGCATGCATGAGCCAGTCCAATAAATCAGCATGAAAGGACAATTTATAGTATTTGTTTGGCTTCAGAGGCACACGGATGGTAGGCTACTTAGCTTTAGGATGACAAATATACCTGGATCTGCCAAGAGTGTAAGTCTAGCGATGCTGATGTCTGAACAGGAATCCCTTGAATCTTTTCCAGTTCTTATGTTTCGATGTTTCACTGGTTTCCTTTGCATGTGACCTGTTAGTGTTAGACTTGATTTGAACATTTTATTGCTGGTTTTTAAAGCCCTTCACAGTCTGGCTCCTGCCTATACCTATGAGATGTTAACTTCATATGATCCGGGCCGCTACTTGACATCTTCTGACCGGGCCTTTGTTAGTGGTTCCAAAGGCTTTCATTAAGGCAATGGGAAACCAATCGTTTTCTTTCTGTAAATCTCTTTTTGAATCACATGGTTTATCATTCAGTGTTCTATAGCTGCTCATGGCTTTATCAAATCTTTTTCACTTTTAAGACCCAAAGACTGTATCCTTCTTTTTCTTTTGATTTTTTTTAATTGTTATAATTTATGTTGAATTGTTTTTAACTCTAACTCTAAATAAAAGTATTTTGCAAAATTTTACAGCTTACAGTTTGTGATTAAGAAAACAGGAAATGTTTTCTATCAGTCCCTTTATGGAAATACATGCTGACATTTACTGACTAGTAAATGGGGTTTTAAAAACACAAAAATCCAGAGCCCACAGAGCTGATCTTAAATGTACAATTTGGGCTGAAAAACTGCTAAAATCCCACAAATTAGGTTTAAATAACAATTATAAATAATAATAATAATGAGTTAGAGAATGACTGTAATTAGCCCACTCCTAATCACCAAACATTTTCAGTCCAAGTCTAAATGCTGCTCTATATTTTCCAAAAAATTGACCAGAATTTACTGGACTATTTTTCTGGGTCCACCTCAGTGTCTAAAAGCTGAAGATCATAACGACAAAGCAGTTTACACCGCTGCTTTGAAAAGAAGCGGGGAAGGAAAACAAAGAAGCGCACAAATATAGCGATCATTAGGAAAGAGATGAGACATGACAGGCGAGGGAGAAGTATGGATCCCAAAATTGCCTCTAGGAGCAGAAGATCCATGAACACTACTATTACTGCAGCACAGAGGTTCCACATCAGTCACTTATCCTGCTAATCACCACTGGGTGATCACACGCATGTGAATTTATCTAAAAGTGGATTAATTGCATATTCTGTGAGGCAGAGACTTTCCACAACGAGTCAAATAACAGTTAAACGCTGTTAGGACAAATGACATTACTCACTTCATGCCAACTAGAAAAGGCATCGCTGAGAACGACTGAAACTGTCAAGCAGGAAATAATGTTATTGTATTATTTCAATTATTTCACATATTTTATGTATGTAAAATAGGAAAGCACTTTAAATTTTAAATGCCACTTTTAATGGGTCTGTGAATATCAATATTACTCTGTCTGTAAAACGAAGATAGAGCTACAGAAGGTTTTTAGGCTAGCATAAACACTGGAAACATTGGGTATAGCTAGCCATTGTCCACAGTAAAAAAAACAACAAAAAAAGTTTTTTTTTGTTTTTAGATGGTAACAAGAATTCAAACAAAATCAGAAAATACACCTATGGACAGGTTTTTAAGGCGCCTATTGCATAATTGAAGTAGTAGGAGAGCTGCTATGTAGGCATTGTTATAAAGACTATGGGGACTGGGTGTGTACTCGGTGCCGGGTAGGTAGTTGGGACTGTTTGAGACATCAATAACCCCTGGAGCATTTCAACATTATAACACACTCTCTGCCCATCAATAATAAATTTGCACGTTTCAAATCTTAACAGCTCTGCTTCACACGTGACAGGACTCAAACTCAAATCTCCAGGCTATATTCGACTTTCATCAGGGAAGAGGTTAGGCTATCCTTTCCCATTAGCTCCGTGTACGTGTCTAAAAATAGACCCCAGAGCATTTTGTAGGCGGATGGGTCCAATGTGATAAGAACAGTGAGGCATGAAGCTCCGCACACTCCCCGTAGAGAAGATGAGAGCGAGCGCTCAAACAGGATGAGGGGGCACAGAGGAGAACGTAAACAGTATAACAGCGCTGTTTAGGACTGGAAGCTGATGCAGAGCAAGCAAAAGGTCAATTAGCTGCAGCAGGTTAGGTGCAACATTAGTTATACTCTAAATTACTTTGAAAATACAGCAGATCCATTTATTTTCACTTTAAGGGTAAGCTAGAGACTAAATGACTGTTAAAAGCAGTATGTCTTTAGCTTTTATATATTAAATGAATTCAAAATGATGACATCAGCTGCTTCTATTATGTCTTTTGTCTTTGATTGGTGATTCCAACAGCAGATTTCTTTTAAGCCTAGAATCTAGATTTGTGCCTTTTTTATTTAAAGAAACTGCAAACGTGTAAAGGGCGTAATGTCAACTTTGTGTGTGCTGCTTCTTATTGGAAATTTATGTGTTTTCCCTCCGTTTTTCCTTCCCCTCGTCTCCCCCTTTCTCCCTCTCTTTATGTCGTCTCTATATCAAACTGACAGCAGCAGACAGAGCCACCCATCTCTTCTCTTTCCTCATGCAGCGAGCGGTCACAGGCACTGTGACAACACAGATTTGTGCTGACATCACATCGGTGATGGAGGATGCGGCGTCTCCTGACTCACCGTTTCAGACCCCATCGCTCAGGCTGAAGGGAGCAGGCACACAGACGTGATCTGGCACGCCGTTGCCAGGTTGCGATAAATGAGCCGGATCATGATGCGAGCTCAGGTGGATTAGTTTGATAAACTGACAGATTGTGAATGTTACCCGCAAGGCCGTTGTATAATTCTTGCTTAAAGAGCAAAGTATTTGAACTGATTTATAAACTGCATGATCTACAAGCTGAGGAATTTCCTTACTGCTTACTGCTACTCAAGTTTACAACACATCCATAACCGCACTTCCCAGGGAGTTTTATGTATACTATGTGACGACCTCCTGTGCTGTCAAAGAGAGTGATAAAGATTAGAAATAGCGTGTGGATGATACATCATACATATACGCATTAAATAAGAGACAATGTTCACTCATTAAGAGTTAACAATAGAATCAGTGTATATGCAGTATTTTATAGCAGTGAGCGGTATCATGAAAACATGGGATTGGTGGAAAAATACAGTGGCCCTGAGAGGCCAAACGGACTGCAACTTAAGAAAACACCAGCAATAAGAAAAACGCCACAAAAGCACACAAATCACAATGGAAACAGGAAAAACGGAAATAGAAAAAAAAGAAAACAGAAATAGGAAAAAACTGATTTCCAAAAGCACATGGGAAGTGTTTCTGGGGAGACAATAACCTGACGGACCAGTTGCAGGAACCAAAACATGTTTTGTGTGCTTTTGCAGCGTTTTTAATTATTACTATACACACGTGCAACAATACATAAATATTCATAAATAATCCTTAAAGCACCTCATAAAATAAAGCACACTGGGATAAAATAACCCATTTTCTTAAAGGTAATCTATGAAGCTGATGAAGTAATGTTACTGTGATATATAGCATAATGAGGTCTGTCTCTTAAACCACAATATATCAATATATTCCTATTTATGTGAAATCTCTTTTTTTCCTGCAACAGTAAGCAAACTTTGTGGATTCAACGCAGCTTAAATCCGTCACTATAAAAGCCTGTTTATATCATTCAAAGCTCAGAATCCAATTTCACAGATTGAATGTTTACCAGCAGAGTTTTCACAACCATTTCCTCCAATAAATTGCATCGCCCTGGGCGAAAATAAATAAATTAAAAAAACGCCTTGTGATGAATAAGTACCTATATCGCCAGCTATTTAAAGTCTCTGCAAGTTTACTTTCAAACTATAATAAACTTTAACAAGACAAAGCATGCCAACAAATAAGAACAAGTAGAGAAACAACCAGTGAAAATAAAAACCTTTGCGCTGCTTTGCCCTTATGGACTGATCAGTCACTTCCAACACTTTGCTATGAGTCACGTTTTGAAGTTGGAAAAATGTGAAATGACTTGTTCGCGTTTTTTAGGTTTATCCTCTGTCTAAAAATATACCAAATGTTTCTCCAATTAAGGTAAAAAGAACAGCTAGAGTTGTTTCCTCTCCATGCATTTACCTCCTCCACCGCCTCCATATCCCACTTTTCTCTGCGTTCTGATTTCCTCTCTGGCCTTTATTTTCGTTTCCATATATCTCCAGCTCCTTTAATCTTTTTCCCCTATCACCTCTTTTCTCTATCGCTCTCTCGTCCGCCTCCCCCTGTCTTCACTCCGGCTCCCCCTTCTCCTTGCCCTCCTTCCTTTCTCTTACAATCTCCTGCTTTAAAAAAGCTCTGCCTTTCCAGCTTCTTTTTCAAAGCTTTTTTCTCTCACTCCCAAGGTAAGC